TTTAGACAAAAAGTCACTGCTTATAAAAAAGAGGTCAGTTATTTTATTTAGTTGTAATTAATTCAACCTAGGCATTTATATTTATTGCTTTCGGAGTTATCAATAGTATACATAGCATGCCTTGTAGTGATGTCTACAACCTTTGTTCAAGTTGGTTTTTATCTCTGCAATAGCTGCATAAATCAAAATTATACTGATTTGGGACATCAGTGTTCTTCCCAGTTAGTAAAGTTATTTATCTAAAATGAAAAAGGCTTCCAAGGAAAATGGGTTCAAGTGGTTCTTATTATTTTATTAATTTCGAAGATTTCATTGCATCGGAAACAAATAATAAGAAGTCCATTAAAAGAAAAATCATTTGTGTGGTTATTTCAAATATTTTCTGTTGGATAGGCTGCTTACTGATTAAAAACTACTTACTGATTAATCCTTGTTTAATTTTAATTCTTACTGCTTTTTATGTGTGGCTTAGTGCATTTTTTTGTCCTTCTTAACGTTACTATGTTCTATCATAGACAGAAAGTATATATTTTTTTAAATATAAAAAGTATATATTTGTGCCACAGCTCTTTATGTTTGCTGTAACAAATGTTTCCATCATCTCTGAAGGTGATCTTAGTTTTCTGGTTTTAGTTCCTTTTTTATCCAATCCACTTTACTGATTTATAATATTAATTTTCAGTTATCGGCCGAAAGAAGTACAGAGATAAAAATGATTATTTGCAAATGTTGTAGGAAACAATTTCAGTCAACAAACGCATACGATAATCACTTGAGTTCTAGGAGACATAAAGAAAGTGAAATACGTTCATTCAAAAAAAATGCCATGGTACATATTGTTTGAAAAAACTTAGAAATATGTTTACAAAACACTGCGTTTTATAAATGACTGTTTGCAATGTCAATTTCGTTTATAATAACTTCGAACCTAAAAAGTTAAATTGTCATTTCTAGAAGAGAACCAATAAAGTGACAGTCACAAAAAAGCAGATGAGCGACTTCCATTACAACCATTTCAGTGGAGTAGACATTCAAGAAAGTGATCGTAATGATGATGACAGTGACAGTTGGATTACTGATTATGGTACAGATGACGAAGATTTTGATGAATCTGAGGTGGCTTATTTGATTTTATGTAATATAAAGTTAATTCTTCACATGATTTGTGCACACACATAAGATTTGGTTGTTTCTTTGCAGGTTATTCCGGGAACAGTTTGTTTATTTTGCAATTATGGTTCAAAGAATGTGGAAACAAATTTGATACATATGAGCGTATCGCATGGATTTTTTCTTCCAGATGCAGAGTTCTGTACAGACGTTAACGGCATGCTGCATTATTTAGGTAATCATATTTACTCTAATGTTATTATCCTAACAAACATTTCCTCAAAATTCTTCGTTTATACTTCTTATAAGAAATGTTTGAGGTTTAAAAGTTGGTAGTGGTAATATGTGCTTGGTATGTAATGAGCGGAAAAGATTCTGCTCATTAGATGCATGCCAAAAACATATGCGCGATAAGGGACATTGCCGTGTTGCCTGCAGTATAGAGGAAATGATCGAGTTTGAAAACTTTTATGATTATAGGTAAGCTTCTCAAATATAAACATATAACATATTGGTTGTTCTTTTGCAAACATATGACAATTTTGTTGACTGTTTCAGTTCCATGTATCCAGAAGGGGAAGACGATGATAAATCTTATTCTGTCGCTTTAACGGATGACGGGTATACACTTACTTTGCCATCAGGTTGGTAGAAATTTTAGCATTAAAGAGTTCTTGGAAAATTATGGACTTTCCTTTTGTTATTTTCTTTATTTCAAGCTTTTTAGGCGCAAAAATTGGACATCGTTCGTTGTTACGTTATTATAAGCAGCGTTTGAAGTCGGTAGCATGTGAACCTAAAAGTGATCATCAGAGAAAAGAGATCCTTAAAAAAGCGATAATTGGGCAATACAAACAGTTGGGTTGGACTGGAATATCTGGTTTGTTTCTAGAATAAATTTCAAATCTTGGTTATTTAGAAAACATTTAAAAAAGCAGCATGAGTTAATCTTTGATTTTTTCCGACCAATGCTGTTGAATTTTCAGAAACATTGGCAGTGCTGCGAGCGAAGGATGTGCGATATATGAAGAAAATAAACTCTAAAAACTGGGTTAAACTGGGCCTTAATAATAACCGTTTGTTTAAATCGCGTGGTAGAAGTGATCAATAATGTAGTATTTCCTGTCATATTTTTGAGAAAGGAATTGAATAAGTTCAGTTTCCCAATTTTTCCACTGTATTTGTAATATAGTGACTATTTATTTACTGTTGCTGATCCCAGTGAGCATGAATCCATTTCATTTTTAAAAAAATTAAATTTATTCAGAAACTTTGTATTAAATTAATCGTATGAAAACACTGAGTGCTGTTCATAAGTTCTTCCTTAGTTCGGTGATCGATTTCTTTTGTTATTTCTTTTGTATGGCTTTTTTATTTTCCATTCGCTTAAATTCCTCAGTTCATTCTTGTGAATTTATTTTGAATGGAAGTTAAATATCTTTTAATTACTATTTTGTTGATAAATGGGATACAATGGATACATAGATTGATGCAATCAAGTATTAGAAAGAAGAGTGGTATTTTTAAAATCTTATGAGCAAAAGTAGCATTCTCAGGTTGACAAGATTATTTTTTTTTGGGGGGGGGGTTTTATATAAGTTCTTCTACTCTATAGAGCTTAGAAATTTGAAATTTTGAATTAAGGATCTGGGAAAAATATGTTCTCTTCTTAAATTAGAGATTTTATCACTGTTTTGGATTTCAGATTTTATTGGCCTTGCAAAGTTTTATTTCGCAAAACATCAAATTGCTATAATCGTATTTTCAAGAACTTGAACCTTTTACGTCCCATTCGGCTCCGTACTGTTAGTGTGAAAATGCTAAATTTCTCCGTACCCTCCACTCTTCATTCTACGTAGCATTCATCATTTCTTAAACTTTGCTTGTGAAATAGTAAATTTTCAAAGTTAATTGGAGTTTTATAAGAAAATCGAAGCGATAATATATATCTGAATGATGAAATTTTTAATTATTTGAAGTATGAGGATTGTAGCAGTGAAATTCTCAAATAACTTATATTTTCTTAGGTCAGTTGATATCTTCTGTTTTATATGCACCTTTTTATTAACACGACTTCAAAACAGTCTCAAAAAATATACGTTTTATCAATAAGATAAGACTTCCGCTCTCTAAATTGACTAAATTTTATCATATTAAAACTCTTGTCTTCATGATAGATAATGAAACAATTTGGTTATTAGCATGGCTGTTTGCAGCTGTGGTATTATTAGATTCTAGTAGATATTCGAGGTAACCAGTGGAATAATATGAATGGTTGGTTAGGTAGTGCTGAACTTTGTGCTACGTTGTAGTGCCATTAATTGTCATTAGAGGTGTGGAATACCATTTCATGAAGTTCAACGTAGTTTCAGATGCTATCATTATTTCAAATTTTTTTATATCATGTTACAAGATAGACATAACGCAGCGGTTAGAAAGTCAAAAGCGGTATTGAAAGAGAAATTCTCAAATGACAATTCCTTGTTTAATATTTTGCAGGCGTTTCCTTATATATCTTTTTTTGGAACATGGCGACTGAGTGCAAGGATATTCCTTGTCATTTAGTTATGTTTTGAACAAATTTAATCATTGAACATTTCTTATCGCTCTCTCTCTCTCTCTCTCTCTCTCTCTATAGCAATTACATAAAATAATTTTTTAACTCCACTGAAATGCTGATTCCAGTTTTTCAATGACAATTCTTCGCTGTCACAGTCTTCATTGTAGAAAATACATTAAAGAAACATGAAGTAACGTAGTATGAAGAATGTTCTGCTATCATGCTGTATCATCACATAGTGGTGTATAAACAAACAGAAAACATAAATTGTTTCTTTGTAAAACAATCAAAATTTTCAGTTTAAGATTTCAAATCTGGGGAGTGTAATGCAAAGAAATACACTTCAACAATTGTTACTGATCACAGCTGGAGCAAAATGCTCATCACTTTAGTGTACAGATTTAGTACAGATTCAGTACACAACAAAGTCTTCAAGTTGATGAAACAAATTTCATTAAGTAGTATCTTACAAAATTTTTCTCTGAAACAAATATAATTTTCTTCAAACCGCTGCTTCCTATTAGCATTCATTCATTATGTGCTTATTGATTCATTAATCTATTCGTCATTAATAATTCGGAGTGCTCGCTATACATTCTTTCATTCCATCAGTTTAAAGAAATTCAAAAGTTTTGCTGACTATTGTCATTATGTCCCATAAGGTTTCCTACTAATTAAATAATACGTGATAGGGATATTATTTCATCGGCGTAAAAATGCTAAAGAGAGTCTGAACTTCATTCACCATTTTTTTTAATGGATTTCCCTCAAGTAACAATTTTTGTCAATTTAGATTTATTTTTTATTTATTTTGGAATGTTCGAAATAGTCTTCCCTTTTTCTACCTTTGTTTTTTTCTTCCTTTAATCATTTATGCTGCTTTTAACTAGACAAAATTAAACTCTGAATGATATATTAAGTTAAAATGAATAAATAGCCAGGATTATCCTCATCTTCATTAAGTTTTCAGGTACAGCGAGTTTTAAAATTATCTTACTTTACTGTTTTGCAAGGAACAGGTTCGAAAGCATCTACCAGACACTGCATAATTTTTTCGTATGTTTCTTTATCCTTCTATAGTTCAACTGACCATAAAAAGTAGAAGCAAAAGCTCCGAAGATTTGGCTTTCATCCCCATTATTAGAATGCCGGCAAAAAAGAAATTAACTCTAATTGAAATTAACTCTCTAATTATGATGAAGCTGCTCGTGCTAGCTGAATGTACTTTTATTCTTTTACTTTTGTTATTTTTAGACTCCTGAATTGTCATCTATAAAAAGAATGGCTGCGAAAAGCGATCGTTATCGACCTAATTCTGAACTATCCGGCAATCTTCAAGAGCGCGCGTTGAAGGTGGTTTCGTTATTGTTTTCTAGAAATTTTAATTGTTATCTTCACTTAAAAATAGAGAGGACTGTGTAAGACTAAACATCAAATATTATGATTTCGAATTTCGAGGTTTCAGTTATGATAACAGTCAATTATTTCGTTAGGGTTTTGATATTTCAGAAAGGACATATCTTTATTCGACTATTCATTCCAGTCTCTCTACTTACATCTCTTACTGACAAGTATTAAGTTCCACTGTCTTTATCAGTGAGTAAGATGTCTTTTTAAATAATTCAAATTTCTCATTTTTCAAGTGCCAATTAGACTATTTTACGCTGAAGTAGTCTTTATCATCTGAGATATCTCAATAAATCCTATTTAAAGAAATGTTTGGTTTAATAGACAGGTGCGTTATGCTATGCTCATCATAATTATTTTGCTACTTTAGCTGAGGTTACATATAACCTCAGCATTTATATTTTTTCCTTCTCCAAAAAAAAACAATCAATGGATTGTGATAAGAAATCAGAATTTCCAACAACTTGTTGCTATTTGTTTTTTATTGACTACAAGTATGCACCGTCAGTCAGTTATCTATCAATAATTAAAATAGTTTTTAAACACTGTGAAGAATTTCTTAATCAAAAGCTGGGAAACTCTTTGAGGCTTATTTTACAGTATTCACTTCTATGATATTTTCAAGATATGGTTCTGAATATCTGAATATGATGTCATATGCTGGGTTTCTGTAGTTTAATTTGATATCATGAAAATAATTTACATAGAATCAATGTGATGTGATTCAATCTATAATCAAAAGAAAATGTTGTTTTTGAAATGAACTGAACTGCTGACGAAACTTACGTTTTGCAGTAAGCCGATGATGTCGACTCACTTGAAGTGTTTTTCATCATGTTTTTCATTGGTTAACATTTACTGCAGAATGAATCCATCATTCATCGCTTTCTTTCTCCTCTATCCACTAGTCATTAGTTTATTTTTTCCAGTGTTTCTTTTCACTGATAAACAATACTTTTTATCAGACATTCTTTGGAAACAAGAATGCTACTTGTCTTCAGTTTCGGTTCTCAACGCTTGATGTGAATATATTTGTTTGAATTTATTTCCTATCTCCTATTATGTTCAATTTTTCGAATTTTTAGAACAAATATTATTGAATGTTTTTGTCTTTTTAAATTGAATCCCAGTTTTTTATATTTTGCAGTTTAGTTAAATTTTGTTGTTCTCTTAACAAAATTTATAAAAGTTAAATTCAGGTTAATTGATTTGTTTACTGTAATCTTTAGGATAGACACATTCCATTTTATGTCTATGTCTATAATAGCAGACGATTTTTGCTTCAATCTTGCAAAGAATTAATTGTGATTGTTCAAGATCTGCCAATCTATCTTTTATATTCTCTCTAAAAAAACTAGCACCAAAAGTATAATTGAATGCAATTCTTTATTATTCGCATGGCTACCTGCAGGAGGTAGTTTTATGCAGTTAGTCTTAAATAACTGTCATAGTGGCTATAAAATGTACTTTTTATGAATGTGTCTTTGATCTGTGAGTGTTAGCTATCAAATTTTCTCACATCAAATATTTTCAACTCACCGGGATAAATGAGAAGTATACATGGAGATTTTTACTTTCAACGTGTGTTTACAACATCGGGTATTTTAATTCATCTTATTTTATGGTCTTTATGTGTTTCCTTCCACTCGTAAGGCTTAAGCTACAGTGTTGATCATTAATTGTTCAAAGTTTGCTGCAAGTAGCGGATCATATGAAAAAAAGTAATTATCGCTAATGTATTTTGAAAAAATAATAATTAGAAATATTCTTGAAATACGCAAATTCATTGTTAAAATCTCTGATCATTAATGAAAATTTTTTCCTCGATCAGTTTTTTTCAATAAAGTCTTTTTTTATAATTTTTAACTTGACCTGTTTCTGTTCTTTTTCTTGATCATATTTCATATTTCACGTATACAGCATGCTCTTATCATCGCTGTCTGCCATTATTATATGTTCGATATTGTTGTGGACTGATAAGCATATTATTAATTGAAATGCTGGACAAAATTTTCTGTATTTTCATATGGCAGATTAAAATGTGATTGCGATTATTTATTACCTATTTAGTAGCACTGCTTTCGATATTTTTTGCTGTTGGAAAGTGAAGCATTCAATTTTATTTTTATCCTAATCTTAAAAAT